TCTCCATGACAAACTCAGACGGCCAGGGGGGAAACCTGCCCCTTAGAATGGCATGAAGGGCTGGGGGAGCCCCCTGAGGTCCACAGGGTGGGGCTGCAGAGAGACAGCAGCACAGCATCCATGGCAGACGCACTGACAGTCCCTTCACCTCCAGAACAGGAGGCTTGAGGGGCCCACCAAAGCCCTCTGACCCCAGGACAAATCCAGGCTCCACCATATGAGCTGCATGACCTTGGGTAGGCAGTTCGTCTCTTGGGGTCTCAGTTTCCCCATCTGCAAAATGGAGCTGACGAAGCTTCCCCAGAGAGCTAATGCTGCCCAAGTGCCCTGTGCTCTGAATCCCAGGAGTCGGCTCTGCATGGCGCTGCCAGCTTGCCTGACCTCTCTGAATGATGCCTTGTGGCCACTAGGAACTCTACTTAAGTGAAGGAATCACACCATAAGGACCACTAGCTGTGCTTCAGAGACAGCAGCACAAGGCCAGTGCAGGGGGTCCCGCCAGGTCCGTGAGCATGTTCTCTAGGGCGTCTGACTCACCCTCAACCCCTAGGTCACACCAAGAGCAAGCGGGCGAGGAGAACGGTCAGCACCTGTCACAACCACGTTTCTCTTGGATACAACAGCCCATATGGCTGAATAGCTGGAGCTGCAATTAAGGCCAGTTAGTAAGATCATGGGCTGACAGCCCCCAGGAGCCGTGCTTCCAGAGACCACAGGCTCCTCTCCCAGCACACAGTGTGCAGACCCCTGCTCCTCAGCCTCTATCCCCACATGTCTCCTCGCATCCGCAGTGCTCCCATAAACGACCTGCTGTCCCCTTCGCTCCATGACTCCTGGCTAGGGTGTTTCCTATCATGAGTGGCTGTGGGGAGAGCCGGGGCAGGCAAGGCTGGCAGGGGGGCTGCTTGTCTTGGCAGAACTGAGCTTGGAAGTGCAGAGCCCTTGGCATCGAGAGGCCCTGGTCCCGAGTGCAGAGCTGGACCCCTCCTCACAGAGCATACTCACAGGAGACAGTGTCCTTGCTCCTAACTTGGTCATCAAGGAGAGACAACCAGCCTCTCTTCGAAAGGGTCCTCATCGCCCTCATCCTGAGTCCTGGCCGGCTGGGAAGACGGTCACAGACAGGGCAGAGGGCAGGCCACTGACAGGCTGTGTATGGATATCTGTGAGCCACAAAGGCAGCCCTCCTGCTCCCTCTCGCCCAGCTGCCATCAGCTGTTCCAGCAGCTCTCAGGAGGGGCCAGATTTTCCAGACCTAAGAAGCATCAGCTTGGGCCATGCCAGGGCCGTGGGCATGTGGAGCGCCCGTCAACTTCAGGCTAGAAAGGGCGCTGGGAGAGGCAACAGGAAGGACTAGGGGTCCAAATGTAGCTGAAGCCGTGGTCGGGGGTTTGGTACCATCTTTCTGGGCCTCGGAGGCCCTCCTCTGGTCCAGCCCCACATCCCAGCCTGCTCCCACCCACACACCCCATGCTGCTTCCTGGTGTCCGAAGTGCTCCCCTTGGAGGATCAGAGCACCTGCTCACCTGCTTGTCTCCCCCTGGGCAGGGACTCCTGGAGGAAGGGTCCAAGTCAGAGCAGACCCTCAAGATACAGCACTGGTCTCTCATACACTTCAGCTTACCCACATCAAAGAAGGGCGCAGCTCGGGCAGGACAAAGGGGGGTGACAGTCAGCAGATAGCTGGTTGCTGCCTAACTGCACTCCACGAGTCTGTGAGCGGCCCTCGTGTGCCGAGGCCTGCACAGCACTCATGGCTGCCAGCTAAAAATGACATTTGCATCATCATTGGGCCAGGAGGCACTAGGTACACGGTCGGACACCCATCCTGGGCACTTCCCACATCACTAACGGGAAGATCTGCTTCCACAGGACAGAAAAAGTCCTGGCAGATGCCACGTAGGACAGCATATGGGAAGGAGGAACAGATTGTGTGGGGGTGGGGGTGGGGCAATGAAGCAATTGTGCTGACCAGGGCGATGACCTGTGATGACCACACAGAAACCACAGGCCCAGCTCTGAACTGACAACCGAGACATCAGCCACAAGCTGACCATGTGCCCAGTGGCTTCTCTAGGGTGGGACTCTCATCAGGTCCTCCACACGTCCTTCTCAAAGTTGACTACGATTTCCTGAGGCCCTGGACAACGTTAAGGTATACTAACATAGCCACATAAAGGTCAAAATATGTAACCTATCATAAACCACACTCAGAAGAACGAATAGCTTGAAACGTTCCTTGTCCCTGGTCAACATGTCACATAGGATCAAACTTATCCTGTGAGGCACAATTACTAATAGAAGGCGCATCTTCAAAAGGAAAATTAGCCTGCCTTTTCAGCTGGGGTGGCTGTAAGCCTCCATGTCACCCTCCCCACCCAGCCCCTAAGGGAGAGTCCAGTCACCCTCCCCACCTAGCCCCTAAGAGAGAGACCAAATGCAAACAGTCCCTGGCCAGCAGGCCGCTCTCAAGTTCCCAACCAGCAGCCTGAAGTCCCTCTGGTGTGGAATGTGGCTGATCTTATCAACTGCCACTCCAGAATAACCAGGCAGACTTGCCAAGTTGCAAGACTGTGGTAAGCAAAGGGCGCCTGTGATGTTTCTACAATCCCTGCGGAGGCATCTCATAACCCCGGCAAAGCACTGGGCTGGAGGCTCCCTCTTCGCTGCAGAGTGCGGTGCATGATGAAGACACCAGCCTCGTGAGCGCGGCTTGTGCCGCTACAAAGGCACAGCGCTGGGCCCTGGGAGCAAGACTCCTGCTCCTCAGAGGCCCTCACCAGCAATGCAGGGGAGCCCAACCCCATGTGGTTTTCAGAAATCAACACTAGACTATGACACGGTTGGAAACCCAAGAATCAGGCCCACCTTCACACACCCCCGACACCCCAGTGCGTGTCTGCCCAGGTGGTGGAGCTATCCCTGCAGACATCTGGGAATGCACAGAAGCTGGCCTGAGCAGTTGAGGAGCAGCTAGCAGCCACGCACAAAGCTGCAGCCTCGAGGGCGTATCGCATTCCCCAGCTATAAAATGCCGACCATGGCTCAGCTGGAGGGGGGGCTCACTTTGAAGCTCTCCCTGACGTACATACAGATGCTCTGCCACTCTCCCTGATCCTGTTTGCCTGAGCAACAGAGGAAGTTTTTCTTGGCAGATAAGGCTGTCGGGTGACCTGAGGGCTAAGTGACTTAGATGGAACTGAGAGTCCCACTCTCCCCAGTTATAAACAGCAGCTCTATGGGGCCACAGAGCACGCTGTGGGCAGACCTCCCTAAATCTGGCATTCCAGGGACTCTGGCCAGGAATTCTGGCGTCTGAGGCCATTCATACAAAGGAGATAACAACACTTACTTAGCAGATTGCTAGGAGAACGCAAAGTCCCAAATCCTGATCTAGAAAGCCAAAGACCACCCAGGTTCAAATTCTGGTTCCACTATCCGCCATGTGACCTTGGTAAGTTATTTAAGTTTTTTGAGCCTCAATAATATTTAAAACGAGAATACCATATTTCATTGATGGTTAGACACATTTCCTCTCTTTTTTTTTTTTTGTGAGGAAGATCAGCCCTGAGCTAACACCCAAGCCAATCCTCCTCTTTTTGCTGAGGAAGATTGGCCATCAGCTAACATCCGTGTCCATCTTCCTCCACTTTATGTGGGACACCGCCACAGCATGGCCTGACAAGCGGTGTGTCGGTGCGCCCCTGGATCTGAACCCAGGCTGCCAGCAGCGGAGCGCGCACACTTAACAGCTACACCACAGGGCCGGCCCCTCCTCTCTCCTTTTAACATCTCTAAAATCAGGATGCTTCTTAAAACGGACAGTACCATGACTTAATTGGCAGACTTTTTTTTTAGTGGTCCATAAAATAACGGTGTATGGAGCATTAATGGTGTCTTAGATTTGGTGAGATAATGGGACTATATACCTCGAGAGGTTGTTCTCAGGGCCTAGAACAGAAGTTGGCACAGAGCAAGTCCTCCCTGGCTGTTAGATATCAGTGCTGGCGATCTGTGACTGCTCTTGGCCGTGGGGCAAATGGGCCCATTGCCGGATACCCACGCAACACACACCTGGTAATGGGCTGAGGAGCAAGTTAAGGTAACGACACCAGGGCCAAGGGGGCAGTGGGGCCCCAAGGGGTCTACAAATCACCTGGACAAAGAGTGAGACTCTGCCCTGCTCTTCAAAATATAGGGAGTCTGGCCCCCTAGTTGACCCCCGACTTCCCTCTCCAATCCATGGTCAAGAAGCTATCCTGTCAAGCAGGATGGCTCACAGTGGAGCCCTGAGCACGGCAGGGAGCACCATGAGACTCATGTCAGCTGTGGCTGCTATTCTCATTACTGCTGTTCCATTCAACCCCTGGTCACAGCAAATCTGCATTAAATTCTGCAACCTGCATACTTTGATTTTCAGAAAGAAATGGTCTTAGATCCTGAGCCAGAACGTGCTGCTAGAGCTACCCTTACACCACAAGAATTACAGCACAGCGAATGATCTTGTTATTTAAACTTTCCCAACATTTAATTATAACAGCAGCAACAAAATCAAGCAGGCTGCAAACAATGCACTGCCTCTTTAAATGGTTTCCTGCGGCCAGTTCAGTTTACAAAGAAATTCCTAAAACGAGGAAGTAACGGGGAATCTGGAGCCAAGCAGCACACTTTTGGGGAGAGTAGCAGGTGCACCCAGAAGGACCAGATGACAACCTTGGAGGGTGGAAGGGTCTGTCCCCTGCAGACTGGAGCGCGCTCTGACTCAGCACAACCGGCACCAGAGAGAGCCTCGGGTCTGCGGCCTGCCCACGCTGACCTCCGGTCACAACGCGCCCTGATCTTGGCCCCTGCATCGCGGCCAGCCCCCCGCCCGCGCGAGCCGATCGTCCCCGGGGGCGGGGCCGTGCGCGAGGGGCGCGGCCACCCGGACCAGGGCGGGGCGAGCCCGGGCGGCGGTCACGTGTGTACACAGGCCCCGCGCGGCGTGCGCGCCGTGAGCCCCGCCGCCTCCTCTGAGCCCGGAGCTGCCCGCCCCGCGGCGGCAGCGCGGCCCGCGGCCCAGCGAGCGGTGAGTGGGCGCCGGGCGTGGGGTCGGGGTCGCCGGGCACACTCGAGGGCTTGGCCCGCGCTGGAGCAGCCCGGGCTGCAGTGGCCCCTGCGGCCGGTGCTCCCTTGGACTCTCGGGTCCCTCGGCCCCGCCCTGGCGCTGTCCCCCGTGCGCGTCGCTGTCCCCTTGCGGGGTGGGGGTGGGGGTGTTGCCCTCTGGGGTCCTCTGTCCCCCGTGCAGTGGCACTGTCCTGCATGCAGCGCGCTGTCCTTGTGTGGGGCCACCCTCGGGCCGTGCCCACCCCGGCTGGGCAGCCAGGCTGGGGCTGCCGCCCGGCAGTCATTAACCTGTCGAGGGGCAGCTGCGATCCGCTGCCCACGTAGGAGGCTGAGCGGCACCGCTGGTTCTTCACATGGCCTGTCAGGGACTGACTGTTCTCTTGGGCACCATGGTTATAGCTTTCCTCCCCTTTTGTGATTACGAAATGTTTAGTAAGTTCTGGAACTACATGTAAATGGAGCTATCAAGTCTGTTGTTAATTGTCTTGGACACTCGATAAAATATAAAACCCCTGGGGCATGGGAAGGCTCCTTCAAAGCTTCAGAGGAAGGCAATGCTCCCAGCCTCTGAAACACCCGTTCTGCTAGCAACAAGAAACCCAACTCAAGTTAATATCATGAACGTGTTAACTCAGTTCTCTAGCTGAGCATTGGTCTGAGAGTGGTCACCTAACTAGTCTCTGTGGTGCAAAGAGTGGAGAGCCTGCGGGTAACTTCGTATTTGACGTCCAGAACAGCACCCGTCCCTCTGATCTCCCTGTCACTGGAGATGTCCTCAGTGCAGGTCTCCATCCCACCTCTCAGAGTCAACTCCTAATCTTCACCAAACAGCAGGACTCCTCCCTTCCCCTATCTTCAGCATCTAGCAGAGGCAGCATCCAATAATGAAGTGACCAGAAGCTGGCTCTACAGGCCCTGCAGACACAGGAGCAGGCATAACACGGCTGACCATGTCCCAGATAGCTCATGCATAATGATCCTAACTGGGGCACCACCACTGAGAGTGGAAAGAGGCACGGTTAGTAATTACATGCGTATGGTCACACTCTCCATGACCCCCTGTATAGCTCCTTAAGGAACTTTTGGAGGGTCTAGCTCTCCAAACCAGGAGCTCTGGTATCTTCCTAAATGAGACCTCTAAAGACAATTGGCTTTTTTAAATCGTGGCTTATATTTGGTGAGTGCTTACTGAGCCATGTCACTGGTAGGAAGCTGGGGCTCAGAGGCATCTGGCTAGGGTCCGTGCTCTGACCATGTTCTCCTGCCTCTCCAGAAAGTATGGAAATGTCCCAAAGGTAGAGGAACATCGCTCTAGGACAGAATGTAGATGTCGGCGTTGACTCAGACCCTGTAACTCAAAAGCCCTGGTAGGTTGGTGATGAGAGAAAGGCAAAGTACAGCCACCCAACGTGGGTGCAGGTGGGGTTTTAGGTTAGATGTAAAAACTGATTATACCTATTATATAATGGAAAAGATGGAAAAAATGACATACTTGCAAAGATCGCTGGCTTGTGTGATGTATGGGCAGGAAGAGGGACATGCTGCTTTCTGGGACGGGGAGAGGAAAGAGCTCCTTGGGGAAGCTGCATCCATTGCACAGCCCCTAGGATGTCATTTGGAATTCTGAAAAAAGTAACTGCCACCTGGCCTTTAACAACCCAACCACATACCAGGCCCAGGTCCTTGGGGGTGGGCGGATTACCTCCCAGAGAATCAAGGTCGCTGTGTAAGTGACACAGTCATGCTCCTTGTTCCTTAAATAGTGTTTCCCACTTATTTCCCCTTGCTTGCTGCTGGCTCCTGAACTCTCTAAGGCTAAAGCCACCTGTGTGACTGGGCAGCTTGGGCTGCATCTGTCCAGAGGGTCTCACTGGCCCAGGGCCCCACAACACCACGCAGGCATCAAGGAGCAGAGGAGACTCAGTCTAGAGAATAAAAAGGTGAACTCTCTCTAATTTGAGATGCCAAAATGTGATGCTGCGAGGAGCAGAGTTCAGTCCAGGAGCCTCTGCATGCAGACAGAACACCCCTCGGGTAGCAGAGGGTCAGGGTGAAATGGGCCAGGCGTCCTGTGCATCCCCAGCAGGTCCACCCTGGGTCCCTTTCCTCCCACATATGCCAGCAGGAGTGCGCCTACGAGCTTTTAATTAGAACCCAGCAAAGCGAGGAAGCAACTACTCCTCTTATACCAAATGTGACAGGTCAGAATACCCAGCTGGTTCCTCCTGGGAAAGAACCACAGGCGGTGCTAGGATCCGCTGCTCTGAGCACTCCACCCAGGCAGGAGCTCACCAAGTTACATGCCAGGGTGCACAGGGGAGCCCCGATGGTATGCCAGGCCTGCCCAGAGTCTGAAATGGAGACCTGACCTGTTGTCAGTCCCGCCCTTGAATTTCTGAGTGAGTCCCTTTTTGTTTTTTTTTCCCCTGGTCTGGTGTACCTGGAGGAGCATCAGCCTCAACCAAGTTAGGGAACAAAAAAGCCTCAGTAACGAGTGCTCCCTAAACAGAGAACGTGTCCCATCTTCTTCCAGGGACAGGAAGCCTGGGCCCGGCACAGGCGCCCCGCTGGCCTGCTGGCCAGGCCCCAGCTGCTAGGTCTCAGTCCCCCGGCCTTCCTGAGCCGGCAGACATGCCTGTCTCCTCCATGGAGAGAGAGGCAGCTCTTTATGTATGCGTCTGAGCCAGGGCACCCACTCCACTCTCCCTGCTCTGCAAATGAGAACTGTAAAATGCAAAAGACTGTATAACTCCAAACAACCCATCCGTATAATGACCCGTTTCTTATCACCCCCGGGAAGGCCCAGGGTTTGTGATAGGAATCAGTGTGCATAAGCTATCTACTGAAAAACCTACGAAAACATCAACATCAGCCTTTCCGGAGCGTCTGGTTCCTACCAGCTGGATGTTAATTGTAGCTAAGCCTCTGCCCATTATTACAAAAGGAAATAAACATTCAGGAGTCATTTTCAAAGCATTCTGATGGTTCCAGCACATTCATGTGAAGTTGAGTCTCGTGGGGCACAGACCGTCCGCCAGGCCAACTGTGTGCCCACTCAGGATGCACCACCGGGCCTCGAGGTCCTGTGCCCATAGCCCAGTCTCTAAAGTGCCAAAGGAAGCACCCCTCCCACCCTCTGCTCTCCCTTCTACACAGTGGGGCTCTGTTGCTCACCTTGGGGGGAGCCTTTGACGTCACTGATGCATCCTCGTCCCTAGACAGCTAGCCGGGCTGCGAGGCACAAATGGAGAAAAGCTCCCCCTTCAGAGAGCTCTCAGCAGATGGGAAAGAGAGAGCACACAGCGGGACTAGCTAGGGTGTGGAGACAATGGTCAGGGAGGGGGCCCCGGGTGCTGATGCCCAAAATAAAACTCCAAGGGTAAGTTTGAGTTTGCTGAGTGAATGAGAAGCAAGGAAGGGCATTCGAGGCAGGGGATCAGTGTGCAAAAACAATGGTGAAAAAGAAGCCGGGAACCTGAGTGGGGCTTCCCCACCCCCAACTCCGTGCTCGAGTGGCAGGCGCAGCTCTGATGGGCCCTGAGCACCCGGGGATAGAATTTCCTGATTAACAGAGGCAAGGACATAAAAAGGTTTCAGTGAAACTAGTTCAGCTGCCCTGGAACAGGAGGATTTCCCTCTGCTGGTTTTTCGTTTCTGCTGGCTCTGCACGTGCACACGCACACTCACGTGTGCACACACGCACGCACAGAGAAGATTCCAGTGGGTGTGGCCCTGCCCATCACCACAGCCTGCTCCCGAGTCACCTCAGCCTGTCATCCAGGAGAGCACTGTTTACTTCAGCCCTGGATTTTAGCCAAGTCCGTTTTCGTTGCTTACAGACATTCACCTTTGGCGGGCTGGTTTATACCATTTTGGGCTCCTTTGTAAAAAGGCATAGGAAAAAAGATGCCTCAAATGTTTCTAACAGACAGCCTCAGGGGTATGTGGCCCTTGCCAGTACTGAATGGAGAGAAGGGACCACTGGATGGAGAGGGCAGGGGTCTCCGACAGCGTCCTGAGTGACGAGCTGAGAAGAGCCGAGGCTGTGGAGCCCATCCTCCTTCCAGTTCCCCGTGCCTAAGAGAGCTGTGATGCAGGCAGGGAAGCGAGTATTCACACTCCAGTTAATACCAGGGCAATGCCAGGAAATCCGCTGTTGGTACCAGAGCCCTAACCCAGACCACAAAGACTTTAAGCTCTGCAAAGCCTCTGGGATCTGCGGGGCTGCAGCGCGGCGAGGGGTCCCCAGAGTGTGCGTGCCTGAGATGGCGTCCCCTCCCCGTGAGAACTTACACTGGGCCTTTGACTGGTGCTCACGTCCTCATTCCTCCTCCCCTTGGGCGTCCTCCTTCCACGCATCAGTTACCAAGGATTCCAAGTGAAGTTTCCCATGACAGCTTCGTCTGCAGGTCCTGGTCCTGGAGGAGGGTCAAGATCTGCACCCTGGTCATCCCGACACAGGGACTAACCCCGGCTCACCCTTTTGTGCTCTACACGACTGGACTGACTCCTCCTAACAATCTCATGAGGATTTTCCTAAACTGGGGAAAGCAGGGTAGTAAGTTACCTGCCTGACCAGAGCCACACAGTAGTCGGCAGTGAGCCTGGGATGTTGATCCTGATAGCCAGCTCCAGAGCCCGAATTCCTAACCATATGAAACTCCATGAAATTAAATGGGACGTGGAGTTTTCCTTATAGCATTTTACACCAGTTCATGTGGTCAGTAACTCAGATCTCTCTGCTGCCTGCAGCGCACGAGGTTTCATATGAGCAGCCTCATTTATCGTGCAGTTCCTGTTTAAGGTTCTGGGTAAGGTTCACATGGTGTAGAATGAGTTAGGCCAGGGGTCAAGGCAGTGCCTCGGATCAGAGCCGCTTTCTGAAAGTACGAAAATGGCCGAGGGCTGGTGCTGTTTTGTTTTATGCACCTGTGTTGGAGTGGGGTCCTGTGACCCATACTC